TTTTTTTTTTTTTTAATTTTTTTTTTTTACTAGATCTTGGGAAGTCCCCATGTAGATCTAAGTAGCCTCTCTGGTGATATGATGTCAGTGTTATTATCTATCTTGGGCCTCTTTACAGTTTAATGGCTAAGATCCAGAAGATGCCAGAATACCTCAGAAACAAGACAAGGCCACTGGCTGAGACCCTCCACTCCCCAAACAGGACAGTACCACAGAAATATAGATGAAAAGCACATTGTGAGATTTTTCTCTCCCATCTTCTTATATCCAAGGCTTACTATGGAAGGTTTTAACAGTAATTAGTGTAGTATTGAACTTTGAGGATATAAGGAAATATGGAAACTTTTTAACCTATATATGAATCTTTGCTGGAATGTTTGCCTTTGAGCCAGGCCTGACCATCTCATTACTTATTCACATGATTCCAGGACTGAATTGCATAATAGTTTCAAAGATTCTACCTGCCAGACTCTTGTCTTTTATCGTGTTATATTCCAGAAGACTCTGCAAGGACCTGATACTTCGGGAGAAAGGGCTGGTTCTGCTCATAGAGACTATAAGCTTTGGCTCATTTTCTGTTTGGGAAAATTGCCATTTTACCAAGATGTAATTAAACAAAAAGGTACTTATTCATTAAATGATAATGTAGGATTTTCTCTTCAAAATAGGGAGAATGAATATAATTTTTTTCTAAAGAACCTATTATTAATGTTAATGATTTGTAGATTACATTACTTTGCTTGCTGCTGATGGGGCAGTGGTAGGGTCTGAAGGTCCAGAACCTTATTCCCATAAACATAGATATAGCCCTTCCAATAATAACTAAAAAAATCTTTGTAAATGTAATTTGATAAGTAGTTGTATCATAATGAATGCTCTATGGTGAATTATTTTAGTTTGTATAAGTTTCCATTTTATTTTATCAAAGTTTTTTTTTATTAAATTAAGTACACTTATACTTTCTTATTGATTATATTCCACCTTGGAAATGGATAGTCATGTCTCTTTTATCCTAGAAGAAAGGGAGTAAAGAAGTAAAAATTACAGGAAACAGGAGTAGGTTGAGTTAAGTAACAAGGAGAACAGTCCCAGGATGGATCTACTGTTCTCAGAAAGAGGCTATTTCTTGAGTCTGGTGCAGATATCCCATCAGAAATAATATAATGAGCAGATGTGAGCACAGTACATAGTGAACAGATGTCTTCTCTATAGGAATAACATTTTACATCAAAGATATATTTTCATGCTTAAATTTTGGTTCTATGCCCTATTTCAAAGCTTTGAAGTGACTCTACAATTATATTTGACTAAGAGATTTGAAAGACAAATTGTGCATCTTTGGAAGGTTGGAGTCTGACAGGCACTGGGAAATCACTGCAGTTAGTGGTAAATAATCCAAATCTATGTCACAGCATTCTTATGATTTGACCAAACTAGATTCAGAAATGATGGCATAGTGGTGGGAGGAACAGGTAACACTCTATAAGGAGGCGATGATGATGGGAAAGAAGATTACTTTAAAAGGAAACATTTATTCTCCTATCCTGAAAATATCAGAAGATTGTTTTCTGGAGAATTTGAAAACAATGATTTGAATGACGACAACATTCAGACTTCAGTGGTAACAAAGCTTAATACAATTCAGTGTGGGACACGTAATTGAGTAAGTATGAAATACCCTTTAACACACAGATCAAATTTTTGTCTGATTAATGTTAATGATTTATAGATTACATTACTTTGCTTGCTGCTGATGGGGCAGTAGTAGGTCTGAAGGTCCCGAACCTTAGTCCCATAAGCATAGATATAGCCATAAGCATTTTTTCATGACATCCTGTTGTGGTGAAAAAATGGCGATAAACAAGCATAACAAGAAGAAAGGCTTGTTTATTATTCCATCTTAAATTTGTTGCTCTTTTCCCCCCAAAATCCCCTAAAAAATGAATAATACCACAGTTTAGCTAGAGATCTCTCAAGCTTTGCATTTCTTTCTTCCATTCCTTTTCCCCCTTTTGCTCAGCCTTGAGCCAACATTATTTAATACTCTAGTTGTTTACCCCTTGAATTAATTATCATGAGTTACAGAGTCACACATTCTGCTATCTGTTGTACATCATTAAGTGGCTTTCATTAAAAGATTAAAATATATCAGGGTGAAAAACATTTGTGAGCTCTGCTCATTTCTAGAGCATCCTTGAAAGCCCTCTTTGTGAAAAACCATCTGTGCAAAGATTTTGATGAGGGAAGAGAAGAAAAGCCTATAGGTTATAGACAGTGTAAAAACACAGTTGAGGAACTCCACCACAATGGTTGGCTCACAATGAATCCCCCTGGTACTCAAGTATAGTTTGGGTGAGATTATGGCCAGAGCTCCACTGTCTTGACCTTTAAGAAAACTGTTTGCACTGATCAGGGAACATATACTAGTTTCCTAATAAGAACATGTACGTTACTGCATCTTTGTTAGGAAGTTACTGACTCAGCAAGAGTGTTGTTACAAAGGGCTCCAAGTTTATATTCCAGGTACTTGGAAGGAAGGTGGGAGGTCAGCATGTGGGCAGCCTCTGCGACTGGCCGAAAAGGCTGGAAGTGAGGTTTGTTTGGAGGGCCTTCTGTGTAGTGGTCTGACCCTGGTCAGACTGACTTTACCCTGGTCTAATAGAGCCCTGAATTAGGTGGAAGACCTATATCCATCATGGAATAGAGCTTCTGATGTCAGAATTCTGATGTCAGAGAGATCTGGGTGTAAATCCTGGGTCCACCACTGACTGGCAGTGTGAGCTCTAAGCCTCAGCTTCCTAATTTGTATTACTAACTAGGGTTGTCATGAGGGTTAAGTGAAATCATGTCTGTAACGGCACTAAGCTAAGTCTGGTCATTGTTACTCCAGTGATGTCAGATGAAACTGAAAATGCAAATCACGATGCTTCCATTCTTTCCTAAAGACTGGAAGTGATAGAGAGTGGAGGATGAGTGTGACTGGAGATAGCATGGGGTTACCTTCTAGGATTTCCCACAGCTCTCAGGGTTCATGCTACTTACAGACTTTTCAACTTTGCTTCCTTCTGTTCCAGAGCCTGAGTTGTAAGAGTCAGAAATAATGGACTGGTGAGTAGACAATATTGAGGTGAGTACATATTACTCAGCCTATATCAAAGTACTTGTTTCTAGATAGATACAGAATTGATTGTGGTCAAAAGGAAGCCAGAGGCAACCCTGTTCATTACTGAGTGAAGAGGAGAGATTCTGAGATTAACTATGTTGAAACTTCTAAAGATTACTAGACTAAAACAAATAGAACATTTATTAAACACTGTGTTATAGGCTGAATTATGTCCCTCCCCTCAAATTTATACACTGAAGTTCTAACCCTCAATATCTCAGAGTGTGACTTTATTTGGAAATAGGGTGATTGCACATGTATTTATTTAAGGTAAGATGAGGCCATACTGGAACAGGATGGGTCCCTTATCCTATATGACCGGTGTCCTTATGGAAAAGGGAAAATTTGGAGACAGACACACAGACAGGGAGAATGCCATGTGAACATGAAAGCAGGGATTGGGGTCATGCTTCTACTAACCAAGGAACACCAAAGATTTCCCCGAAACCACCAGAGGCTAGAAGAGAGGCATAGCCCTCAGAAAGAACCAAGGCTGTCAGCACCTTGATCTTGGACTTCTAGCCTCCAGAACTGTGATACAATATAGTTATTTTGAGTCACTCAGTTTCTGATACTTCATTACAGGCAGCTCTAGAAAACTAACACACATGGGTAAACTTATTTCCACTTCTCTTATGTAGGGCTGGGACTAGGGCGAAGCAAAGGAGGCACTTGCCTCAGGCACAACCTTTAAGGGGCACAACAAATGCACTCAGTAATCAAAATAAGTAATATCTTAATGCAATGTTTTAAAAAATTGATTAATGCAGAATATCAATATCAAGTAAAATATCAAACTTTTGAATACAGATGGGATGAGTAATAGCTTCATATCGAGTACATTGAAGCACGGGGCAAAAGGAATGAAGAAATTAGTAATACTGAGCATGTCTTTATTTAGACTTTTGATATTTTGTTCATCACGGTCTCTTGTGTTAACGTTGATATTCTAAAATACCACATAAAATATCACGTATCCTGATTTCTGAGATTTGGGCACCAGTTAAATTTTATACCCGAGGTGAACGCCCCACTTGCCTCGCCCTGGCCCCTGCCCTGCCTCAAGGCCACCAGTTGAGGCTAGGACCCTAATGTCAGCACAGCAGGCTGCCCGTCTGATCCCAACATGCATCACTTGGGTTTTGGCTGAAGAAATGAAGACAGTGCGTGCCAGATATTTCCATGTGGCTTTGATGCCGTCTCAGACACGGATGGATGAGACGCCCAACTTCACAACCCTGAAGAGATTCCCTCGTTGTCACCCTTTCTTCAGCTGCAGTGTTATTCTCCAGTTAGTCGTGGGCCAGCGCTTCCATGTCATCCCTAATTCTGCCGTCTCTCATCACCCACATCCTCTGAAGTCAGGCTAATCCTTTTCCTAGCTCCTAAAAATGGCCTTATTGTCCTTTATACAAAGTGTCCAGATACAAAACATCATCTATTTTAGCAGGTATAAAGAATAGAGTAAGAAATTATTAGTGAGGGCACCATCCAGAGACAGCTGTCTCAGGGCTGGAGTGTACATCCTTCCAGACGCTTCACATTTCTACTTGCAAATATTAATGTTCTTTATGTATTCTGTCTTTTGGGTTATTCATCTCTTTCAAAGTGCTTTTCAGTAAAGAGGTTTTATATTATGGATATTAACTCCTAGTTAATATTATATATGTTATATATAATATATATATAGCTGGCATTTTCTCCAGTTTATCAGTTGTCTTTTAATTTAATTTATTTTATATTTTACACAACCATAAATGTTAACTTTTATGTAGACAAAACTGTCAATATTTTTCTTTTTTTCTTACTTTGGAGATCCTTTTCTATTTCAAGATTATAAAAAAATTGACCTAAATTTTTTTTTTTTAAATACCAAATGTGTTATGTTAGGGCATTTTTTTTTTTTGCGATTTATTTCTTTTCAAAATTTTTTTATTTTTCAATTACAGTTGACATAAATATTATATTAGTTTCAGATGAACAACATAGTGATTAGACATTTATATAACTTACAAAGTGGTCACCCTCATAAATCTGACACCATACATAGTTATTACAATATTATTGACTATATTCCCTATGCTACATTTTATATTCCATGACTATTTTGTAGCCACTAATTGTTCTTCTTAATCCTTTCCCTCTTTTAACTCATCCCCCCCAACCCCTCTCCCATACCTATATATATATTTTAGAACAGCCATAGTTTAATTTTTAAATTACATTTTTAATCCATTTAAAGTTCATGTTGGTGTAAAGATTCTGATAATTCTTCCTGTCCTTTTCTTTCTAATCTCTTGTTACTGACATCTTTTGGGCTCTGTAAGAATGCAGCCATCTCCTATTTATAATTCTTGTCCTCTTTTAAAAGTTTTTAAAATACTATTCATGTGATATTTGGAAAAAAAAATTCTAAAGACTGTTCATTGTTAGGGTGGAAAAATAGTCCTCAAAGCCCTCTCACCAATCCTATTTTTCTAATGTTGTTACTCAATCTTACCTCTCCATAGGAGCTTTTTACCCAAGATGGGCTATAATAATCATTGTCTCCAAAACATATTCTTGCCTCTGTGTGTGCTGTTCTCTCCTCAGGACGTTCCCTGCCCAAACCCAAGCCATTCTTAAGGTATCTCCAGGAAGTCATTTCTGAAGCACACTGTTTGTTCACAAAGCCCTCTCCTGCTTTTGAAACTTCTGTATCACTTGTATACTTGATACCTAGTTGTTTTCTGACTGGCTTTGTTATTGAACTTCCTAGTTGTATATTTAAAGTCACAGATTTCAGAGTTTCAGAGTTGGGAGAGACTCAAGGTATTTGTCATCCAATGTGTCATCTGACATTAAAACCCATCTATAATATTCTTGCTAAGTAGTTACTTAGCTTTTGCTTGATTACCTCTAATAATGAAAAACTCACTATTTGCCCATGTCATTCCCAGTCACCTCCTAATGATTAGAATTTTTTTCTTATTATAAGCCCTCAAATCTGTCTTATGTCTTTCACTCTCAAAGGGAGTTGTGGGAAGGACAATAAACATGGCATTTGCTAAAACTAGTTTTGAATCTTGACTCCACTTGCTTATAGTTTTGTGATCTCAGGCAAAATGCTCTATTTCTGTTGGGCTTCAGTTTCCTCATGTGCAAAATAGGAATGATATCTACCTCATAATATTGTGGTAAGAATAACATTAAATGAGAATTAAAGTAATTGAATGAGGACATATATGAAAGTTCCTGACAGAGATCTTAGCACAAGGGAGTGTTCAAGAAATATTTGTTGAATTAGAATTTATCTTCTAGAGTCATGCAGATAAAATCAAATCCTATAGATGAATATAATATAAACTTTGCTTTAGTCTTTTCTTCTCCATCAAATATTTCCAATTACTTAAATTATTTTCTGATATCATGATTTCTTAAATCATATGTCCACCACCACACCACCACCGTCCACTGCCTGGTCACTCTCTTCTCAACATAATCACTTCTCAGCATCCCCCTAAAAGGACAGGATTCTGAACTCTGGCAGGCACTCCCAAAGTCACCTAACCAGAATCCTATCATTCTGTACATCAACTGCAGAGGCTCTCAAACCTGGATGAATGTTAGAATCACCTGAGGAGCTTTTAAGACATACTGATGACATTCAAAGTCTTTCTGTTGTAAAAGATCCTGGGTGAGCCCGCCCAGGCATGGCTCAGCAGTTGAGCATCAACCTAGGATCCAGGAGGCTGAGGTTCGCATTCCTGGTCAGGGCACATGCCCAGGTTGCAGGCTTGATCCCTAGTCGGGGGCATGCAGGAGGCAGCTGATCAATGACGACCCTCTCATCACTGATTTTTCTCTCCCTTCCTCTCTTTGAAATCAATAAAGATATATTTAAAAAAAAAAAAAAAAAGATCCTGGGTGAGAACTGAGTACTCACACGTTTTAATAGCTGATCAGGTGATTCTAATATGCAAGTTCCTTGGGAACAGATTTGCAATCCCTATTTGAGATACAGTGGTCCCTCGGTTTTCTAATGTACTCCGTTCAGAAGACCATTTGAGTTCTGAAACGTTGGAAAACCGAGGGATCAGCAGCCGACAGCTGGGCCTCAGGATCTTGCCCTCAGCGGAATCCATGTGGCATGTTTGACCTTCAAGGCGAAACCGAAGCATTTCCTTCTGGGTTTTCATAAACCGAAATGTTCATCAACAGAGACATTCGAAAACCAAGGTACCGCTGTACTTGGAGTCAGAAGTGTTTCAGAATCATATTTTTTTCTTCTGCCTTTTGGAAAGGCAAAATGGTGCACACACAATTAATATGAAATATCCTCAGTGGGTCCGAATCTTCACCTTGCAGTCAAATACATAAATATTTTCACAGGGACAGACGTAAACATTCAAGTTAAGTGGAAACAATAAAGACTATAAATATGCTCATGTGAGCTGAGATCCAGTTTTGCAGCTAAATGAATTTTGGGACAAAATATCAGAAGAAAATGGCAGTTTTTAGAACTTCCAAATTGTAGATAAGGGATTTGGGACCAGTCTTTAGTGGTTATTTTTTCAGCACTTGGTCTGGTCTACTGCCCAAACCTATGAACTTAACACATATTTGTTGAATGAATGAATGAGACAAACTTTTTTATGTACTATCTATAGAGGTATTGGTATATTTCCTAAAGTTGATTCCCATCCAACAAATAGTGCCTTTGGACCATAAAACTGGGAATAAGTTAATTTGAAAGATACTGAAGGAGAATAAAAATAAATTTGTTCTGTTGCGTTTTTTTTTTTGTCATCTCAGGATTTCTATCCTAGAAATAAATGCATATCAAATTACTGAAAACAAAAGGAGAGGTTTTCTCTATTTGTGCAAGGCATTACATCATATTCTATAACCTCTGAGAAAAGGAGTAGAGCACTGCTGGAAAAAAATCTAAATTTAACTAAGAATCACAATGAAGGAACCTGAGG